AAAGAGGCTCCTAAATAACGCTACTTAGACAAGCTTGACTTGCTGTTTTGGGGGGGGATAGGAAAGCTCTAAGGTAGAGCTTAGAGCTAATGTTATTTGGACAGCTCGGCCTTGGGAGGGCAGGTGCACCAAGCTACAGAGATAAAGAGGCACCAAGAGAGCAACAAGACCAGAGCAAAACAAGCTGGAAGGACACGCTATAGGTGATCTTAGAACTGAGTCTGCGCAGAAACAAAGGTCAACCAGCGGACACTGTGATGAGGAGTACAAGCCTTCATCTTGAGACCCCCAAAGACCACCCGAGGACGCTAACAGACATGCGTGAAACATATGAACGTATGCTAATTAGTTCTTGGAAAAGTCATGAATATGCTAAGCATTTCTTGGAAATATGATGAATATGTATATTGTGACTGTATTTAACCTGAAATGACAGAGTGTTTGGTGCACACGTTTGGAGGAGAGATCCCCCGTGTGCCCGGCGCCGTAATAAAGAATCCCTGCTTAATAGTCTGCCAAATATTGAGTCTTTAATTCTGGCTTTTCACGGCATCCATATCCATAATTCTTGTTGGTGAGAAGCATCATGTGGGGAAGGGGAACATGGCGCGTGCGTGAGACCAAAACGGTGCTTGGGGTAGGAATAGTGCTGATGTCAGGGTCTTGCAAAAAACCCCTCTTGAGGTACAGCCGAAATCTCGATTGCCGTGAACGATCGCCCTGTCTCTGGGAGAAATGGGAGTGAGGAGTGGGACGGACTCCCATGGAGCTGCTGAGCAGGTAGGACCACCATGCCAGCCAGCCAGACACTGGCTTTCTTACTCAAATTTTGAGGGCAACTAGAGAACGGAAGTATGGGTTGTTAAAAATTCAATTTACTTGCAATATCATCTAACCGCTTTTTGTGAAATCTGCTCTGAGGTGGAAGATCAAGACCAGCTCAAAAACAGGGCGGCCTGCTGTGCAGCAGGGGGTGGCCATCGTGGCAGGCTGGCCAGCAGATGTTGGCGGGCCCTCAGATCTTCTGTCCTTCCCTCGGTGGCCACGTCAGCAGAACTGACAGGTGAGCTGGGGTCGGTGTTGAGAGTTTAGGGCGTGAAAAGAGCATAAATTTATAGGAATTGGATGTTGCTTTCACTGCTCACGGAGTAACTTTTCAGAGCTCGCTATGGGCGCTGCTTTTTATTATTATTTTCACGTTGTGGTAGCTGTGAAGTACACTGTGCAGCAAACACGTGGTGATTTTTGTTGTTGTTGTTGCATGTATTCCATCTGCTAGTTTTGAAGAAGAAAAGACTTGGTTTTACATAGGTCCTCGTTTCCTACCAAATTTAAAGAGGGAAGGATACAGACTGTGTTGTGTCGTGTCGTACACACAGAAGATGCGGTTGATAAGCTTCGAGTAGACAACTCATTTCTTCCTCTGGCGGGGGGCTGGGTTGTGGTATTGGCTGCACGTACAAGGTCTCTGCTTGTTAGTGGGTTCTATTCTGCTTTTGGTGGCTCCATGGTGGCCCTGGTTCCTGTTTAAGTCATTCAGAAGGTGGTAGGTTATCAGTGCATGGTGTTAAATAAAGACGTAATCTCTCAGTGCGGACAGCCTAAAGCTGAACCTGTTTTCTGACATGCATCATCTTGAAAAGAGACCTGATTTATTAATCGGCTCCCTATGAAAATGACAACTTTCTTCCCATGGTATTTAAATTTCATGTGCTACCTTTTCTATTTATATATCAATTTTCTTAGAAGAGTGATCACTATAAGCTAATGAACCTGCAAGAGACTCACAGTGGACAGAGGAGTTCAAAGCCATTTGGGCCATGCTATTAGCAAGCAAAGGTGGAGGAAAGAAAATTAAAATTATGCGCAAAAATAGAGAACAGTTGGAGATGATGAGTGGAAACTGAAGAGAAACAGGAAAAACAGTCTAGAGGAACAATTTTGTGATGGAAGGTTGTTGATAATGATTAAGTATACAACAGGTATAATTCTGAGTTTATTATTTAGACCAAACTCTGCTTTGGATCTTTGTAGGGCAATCTTGTTGACTAGAACTGTGAAAATTTTGGGGGGTTTTGCTACAAAAGTAGCAAGAAGATGGTACTTG